TCTTTTAGTTATTCCAAACATGGTTCTCTCCATGGCTCTCTGGGCTACTCTTAAATTTTCTGCTGACTTTTTCGTTAATGTTAGAGTTTCCGCTCCATATGTAATTACCGGCAAGACGCATTGTTCATAAACTTTCCTCTTCAAGCATATGGGTAGATCACTTTTAAAGGTCTCCCGCAGTTTGCCAAAAGCAGCCCAACCCAAACCTATGCTGCGCTGTATCTCGTGTGTCTGGTTGTTCTTTCCAATTTGTATTTCGTGCCCGAGATATTTGTATATATGTGTTCCTTTTATGTCGGCATCACCTATTCTAATGTTCTGTGTCAACACTAAGTTTGTCATTATTTGCGTTTTACTCGTATTTATCCGGAGACCGACTTTTTAAATCGCCTAGTATTCCGCACCAAACATTGAGCTTTTGGGGATGTTGGGTGTATCCTTCAAAAACAATATGCGGATTCTCATCGCTCCAGTATCTGCAGTTCTGCTTATTCACATTTCCATTTAAAAAAAATGAGCACTCATCACTAAAACAAATATTTTTAGTGAATGAAGGTTTCCTTCGAACTTTCTCCGTCATTAGTTCACAGAACTGAATCCTTCTATCTGGATCGTCGTCGCCAAGTTCCTGCAGAATCTTCATTTTGTAAGGATGGAATTAATGCATTTTCAATACTCTTCTGACAGATGTTCGAGGTATACCTGTGATTGATGCCAACTGGCGTGCTGATGCTTCTGGATTGACCGATACCTGACGAATAACTTCCATCTGCATTTCTTCATTCAGTACCCTGGGCCCTGTCCATTTTTTATTTTTGACCGATCCATGCAGTTTCTTGAAACTTTAGAATCAAATCTCTAACATAAACGTGACTTACGTTTATGTTAGGAGTTTTTTTTTAGTTTAGTTACGTTTCTGTCCGGATTTCTCTCACTGAAAGCACGGGCCGTTCTCAAATAGCACATACCTTCAGCACTATAAAGAAAAACTATTTGAATTCTTTCTTCCACAGTCTAAACCATTTTTCTCCAGTGCAAAAACGCAAAGATATACCGTTTTAAGATTCCTGTTTGTTGAAAGTAAAAAAATATATAAGGAAGAATTTGCGTCATCGCAAAATTGGGCTGAATGATTAGTAAAACATCTTTGTGTTGCCTTTTTTATTATCTACATTTTTTATTTTTAGCTTCAAAATGGCAATGGTTTCAAAATGGCATTGATGAGATTAGAAGTGAGGGGGTGGCGCCTAGGGGTTGGTCAGGGTGGTTTGAAAAATACCTCATTTTCCTCATTGAGCTGGGTACCAATTTGTAACTTACGCTGAAAAAAATAACTTTTTTCATTAATGTCCATCTAATTTTTCGTGTAAGAGGTAGTTTTTCAATTTCACTCTAAAAACTTTATAATCATCATAGCATTTTTCATGGGCTTTCCAAAAAGGCGTCACAAGTAGGGTGTTGCCATTTAAGATTTTCAAGTGAGTAGGTGTGCCGCTTAAGGGGTAGGTCGGGGTGGTTCAAAAAATACGTCATATGTATTCCCCCTCGATATTATAGAAACGGTATTTTTTATTTTTTTTATATCTTTTTTGGATTAAAAATTATAGCCATTGTAAGTTTTCAGTGGCCCACCCTGTATAGTCTCTACCTCTACAACCAGAGACGCGGTGATAGTTGTCTGTCGTTTTAATTCAGAGGTAAATGTTATTTGTCATTCCTGGGGTATTCTGTAAGAATCTCTCCTCCCTGCTTAAATTGGACAGGGACAATAGGGACAGCGCAGCGACAATTTATTTTATTTATTTATTTCGACCTCAGAAACACGTCTATGAGGTTTTTTTCGTTATAAAAAGATGTTGAAAATCGTGCATTTTATTTTAAATTTTCCTGTATATTTTTCGAAAACTTTTTAGAACTGCCTGTTTACCGCAAACTTTTCCATTTTTCTGATCTTTTTTTGAAAAAATTCCCAATGGTTATTTTTTTTCAAAAAATTGAAAAAAAAAAAAATTTTGAGCCACCGGATTTTTCTGTATTTGCATCCTTTTTATTGCCGTAACCATAGAGTAAAATGAGAGTATGGTAATAAGAGATTAAGAGAGAATTATACCGTGGGAAAATTTGCGGTGAACAGGCAGTTCAAAAAGTTATCAAATACAGAAAACTAAAAAAGAAAATACATGATTAACATATTTTGTAGCGAAAAAACCTCCTGCGTATTCCTGTAAGAGATCGAAATATAACCCTGAAAATGTTGCACTTATTTAAGACTCACCACTGTGTAATGTGGCCAACAGGAGAATTTCTGACCTGACAGTTCTGTCTGTCATTTTAATTCACAGCCAAATTGCCGTTTTTTGGATCTCGTCTGTCAGGAAAGCTACCCTGAATTATTGGGCAGACTTTATTGAATTTTTCTTTCAACGATGATTTGATATGTTTGGCGCACATAATATCTAATTTGAGGAAACGATATAAAGTATGTGTATTCTAATTCTATATTCTACTAATAATATTTGTACTCCCCTTAATGAATTTTTTACTTAACTTTTTTCAATTTTTTTTCATTTTTTATCATTTTATATACAATAACATATTTTTCATTTTTCATGAACTTTAAATCAAAGAGATTGAGGTACATCATCAAATATAACCTATAAAACGCGCAAGACAAGTCACAGAGGCTGCCATCTAGTATCTAGTTTAAAAAGAAAAGGTAATTCTAGTAACTCAATAGTTAGAGTTCTACCTTTTACCAGAGACAGCTACCCTTTACATTTATGATTTTATGGATCTACCGATCTACTTATTAAGTGTGCTGTGATTTTCCGTTATAGTTTTCTGTACTAGAATGTAGTTGATCACACTTTAAAAACAACTCATTTATTAATGAATTTGTAAATTTACTATATATTTATTTACCATAACAGAATGCAGTAGAAAATACTTCACAAATATATTAACAAATAACTGCAAATAAATTGTAAAAATCTCTCAAACTAAACCTCAACTTAGAAACACGGACCACCGACCGCATACCGACCGTCGTCGTTTCTTCGATTTAGGGTTAGTTCTTTTACCATTTATCTTCTTTTAGTTTTTAGTCTATGGTGGTCTATGGTTAAGTAAATTGTTGCAGGTTATGAGTTTATTAAAGAAACTTTCTGTTAATCAATAATATTAATTTTGATGTTACTAAGCTCATAAATGTTAAAACTGATATCTAGAACAAGTGGAAGTAAAAATAAAAAGCATTTATAAAAAAAAAATTGTGCATTTTCTTTTAACTCTTATTGTTTATTTAACAATTTCCCAAATCGTATTTATATTTCTTATATATTAAAAAATATATTTTAAATTGTCTGTTTTAAACTTATTTAGTTTACGTAAAACTATCCGTCTGCTATCTACATGAGCTACATCTCCTACTAATTGCTCTTGTTTTAAGTTCAACTAAAAAATAATATTATAGGTATTTTATTTAATTTAATTTATAAAATCACTTTAAGGACACCACACATTCTTTCTCCTAATTGCTTGCCCACCTTAAATCTTCTCGCTTATCTTGCCCAGGAATTTTAGATTTTTTCCATTCTGATTGATAATGATGATATAAGGCTACTGGATCACATTTGTTAAATGAAGGTTTGGACACCGTGGGTCGTATAACTAGTAATATAAAAACATCACTTCATAAAAATAAATTTAAACACACAAAAAATAGTACATAAAATATGTATATAGTACACATAATATATTTTAAATTTGAAGTCTAAATTTACTTACATGATACTTTAGATTTTTTATCTTTCACGCTTGTCTTACTAGATCTAGAGGAAACGGGTTGTGTACTAGAAAATGTAGAGACATTTCCATGCAAATTACTAGAGTCGGATTCTTTATTAAGATCTTGTTTATGTGAATGAAAGTTACTATTATCATTAATATGGATACAGTGTTCATGTAAAACATTCTTCTTTGTTTTACTCTCATATATATGTAAAAAGAAATATGTTTATTTTATGTGTGCATCAAGTACATTTGCATTAGTTGGCTTTTCAGATGGAATATTTAATCCTGTTTGTATCCCACCATTATAAATTGACTCGTTTGCAGTAAAATCCATTTTATTTTTCAGAACATCTCTAATATTCAGATTCTTCAGGATCTGGCAGAACATTCTCTCGCTCAATATTATATCTTTTATCATACTTCATTAGCTTTTTTAGATCTAAAAATTCGGAAGCAGTTTATTAACTAGGTATCTATATTATACATAAATATGTTATTGATTTAATATCAAACTTTCCCTTACCCACAATAAATTCCTTTAGCTGAGTAGCAGTTACATTTGTGTAGCCTAGATTTTCATTTAAATAAATTAATACTTCTTTGGGATCCACTTTATAAGACATATTAAACTGTAGTAATATTAAATAGCAGAAAAAATAAAATAATTTAAAATAACGAATAACCAAAAGAAATATAAAAAATTTGACATTTGTGATTTTATTAAACGCCAAGAAAAACAGCATGGATTCTACTCTGTGGTAAAATATGTTTATGATGGTATTTTGTGTTTTTTATTAGTTTATAGTTATTTTAAAGAATAATTCACAATATTAACAAATTACCCAAATTACAAACAAATAACTGCACTTAAATAAATTATTTTAAATTTTTAAGAACTTTATCAATATAAATACTACATTGCCATCTGGGATCATATATATGTCACATGATTTTTACTGCCTAAAATTTTTCTCAGAGAAGAATATATGGATAAATGAACAAACAATTTCTCCTAAGAAAGAACTCGTTTTGTAAAAGAAGAAAAAACAGAGAAACTTCAGTTTAGTGTTTGTAAATAAATATCACTGATATCTGATTCAAATGTAAAATATTTTTATAAATTATTAAAAAGTTATTTTCTATTATGGATGTTTACAAGTACTTAGCAATGATTCAAAGTTTCTACTGTTCTTAACCCTCTGTTTAAAAGTTATCAGTAAAGTATGTTTAGAATTATGTATGAATTACTATTTTCCAAACTATTAATTTTTAGCGAGGACGATCTACAAAAGAGTTAAAAGGGTTTAGACGAGAATGTGAAATTCAAAGGGATCTGCATCATCCCAATATTATTCAAATGTTGGATTCTTTTGAGACAGAAAATGAAGTGTGTATTTTGTATCTAAACATTACTTAGAATTATAAAAAAAAAATCTTTTTAGATTGTAGTTATCACTGAATTTGCACCAAGAGAACTTACTGCTATTTTAAGTAAAGAAGGATATCTGTCAGAAGAAAAAGTCCAACAAATTGTATGGGACTTAATTTCAGCACTTTATTACTTACATTCAAATAGAGTTTTACATAGGTTTGAGAAATTTAATTGTTCTCTACCGCAGTATAAACTGTATAAATATTATATCTTTTAGAGACTTAAAACCACAAAATATTTTACTAGATCTAAAGAGTCGTGCAAAACTATGTGACTTTGGGTTTGCAAGAAATATGAGTACAGGAACGCATGTTTTAACTTCAATAAAAGGTCTGAAAATGGGTAGTAGCCAACCATTGATTTTAAAATTTGGTTTAAAATTGTAGGAACACCTTTATATATGGCTCCAGAATTAATTGATGAATTACCTTATGATTATAATGCAGATCTTTGGTCATTAGGTTGTATCACTTATGAACTATTAATGGGTACACCTCCATTTTGTACTTCTTCAATTTTGCATCTAATAAGGATGATTAAACATGAGCAAATTCAGTGGCCAACGTTATCTAGCAATACGTAACTGAACCAAAGTGGGCTACC